GTTTTTTTCCGGTACCGGAAACCGAACTCACGACCTTGCGCTCGCCAGGCAGGCGCTTTGCCGCTGAGCTAAATCCCTAGCCCCAATCCCCAGTCTTAGGGGAAAAAAGGTTTGCTTCTTTTAAAAAATTTTTATGAGACAGGTTCTCACTATATAATCCAGGCTGGCCTCACACTCATGTCTGTCTTCCTGCCTCAGCCTCCTGAGTGCTGGGATATTAGGCTGTGCTACTATAGCCATCCTTAACAGATTCGCTTTTACATGTAAGAAAAATAATGACTTTTTTCATTGTCATAAGCTATGTGTTCTCTTTACGTTTGAGTCATTACTATGTGATCTCATGTCAGGATCCCTTTTTTCCACCCCCTGAGATTTGTCCAAGCATTCACTGACACATTTCTTGTGAATTTAGTTTGTAGGGTGCTGATAGGTACCAAAAAGAAAAGAAAAGCATCAGAGTAAAGTGTTAGATACCTTCTTATATTTTAAGTTTGGTTTAAAAAGATTCATTTGTGTTTGGTATTTAAGTTTTGGATATTAACTGAACCTCAAAAATTTTTTTTCCTTTATATGTATTTCTGCATGATCGTAGGAGTCTATCCTGAATTTAGATCTACATTTTGGGAGCTTATTTTAGAAAAGATCTAAGTTTTAAAAATTCTGAATGGACAGACAGAGAAAAGAGGGTCTTTGCCAACTCCTTTGGGTAAGAAAACTTTAGACTTTTGCAGATACTCTAAAAATGAAGGTCAACAAACTAGGCATGTGACATTATTAAGTTTTCAAATACAACAACTTGTCATGATTTCTTTCTTTAGACTGCTGCAGTCAGAATGTCTTTCCCCCCTCACTTGAATCGCCCTCCCATGGGAATCCCAGCACTTCCCCCGGGGATCCCACCTCCACAGTTTCCAGGCTTCCCTCCGCCAGTGCCTCCTGGTAAGTCTTTTTTATTTTATGTGTACTTTTGTAATTGTAATAATGAACTTTAGGCGAGTGATAAAAATGTGACTATGTCAGTAGTAAAGCTCTCTTTTAGTACCCTTCTAAAATGTCTTATTTCTTACGTTGGTAGATTTTATATATGGCTTATTTTGAAAATTCTTTTAGAATTTCCTATTTAAAAATAATAGGTATTACACTCATGGGGTTCAAAAATTAAAACATAGAAAATTACAGAGTGACAGATTTCCTTCACATAAAGTATACCTGCCTTTATTCCTCACTTTCTGAGAAAGGAAATAACATGGAGCCATTCGTTTTGTTTTTATCTTTTCAGGTATTTTAAAATGGATTTTAAGCCAAAATATAAATGTAGGGCCGGGGATATAGCTCAGCAACACAGTGCCTGCCTGGCAAGTGGGAGGTCCCGAGTTTGAGTCCCAGTACCAAAAAAAAAGAAAAAAATTGAAATAAATGTATGTTTTCTCTCTCAGTGTGGGGGAGTATTTTTTTGTTTTATTTTTTTTTTGGTACCAGGACTCAAACTCAGAGCCTTGTCCTTGCCAGGCAGGTGCTGGCCCTGGAGGCGTTTTTAGTACAGCTGTGTAGTAGCCATTCATTCATTCATTCATTTATTTCTTTAGGAGACAAGGTCTCTGCATAGTTCAGGCTGGCTTTGCACTGTGTAGCCCAGGATGGCCTCATGTAGCCAGGGATCCTTCTTCTTCAGCCTCTGAGTGATTGAATTACATGTGTGCACCACCACCTCTGAATCATAGTAGCATTCTCTCTCTTTTTTTTTTTTTTTTTTTGGTCTTTTTGAGACAGGGTCTCGCTGTGCAGCTCAGGCTGGCCTTGAGCTCACTTTGTAGCCCAGGCTGGTCTCAAACTCAACGATCCTCCTTTCTCAGCCTCCCAAGAGTGATGGGATTACAGGCATGTGCTACCACGCCCTGCTCATAGTAGCATTCTTTAATAGTCTATCCATTAGCTTTTTGTTTTTTTAGCTTGATAGTATCTTGGAGAGCTTTTTAAAATTAGTATATAGAAGCTTTCTCCAAAGTTCTGTGGAGTTAAAGAAAAAAGTGTTCAGGACTTGTGCCATCCCCCTAAATCAGATCCTCAGACACTGGAGCTTTGGAATCTTTATTTGTAACACATTCATAGCTAATTCTAAGTGTATGCTAAAGCAGCAGGAACCCACATTTGCGAACCATTATCCTGAAGTATACATAGTTAACATTGTTTAGCCTCAAAGAAAGTTTTCCTTTGACTTTTAGGCAATACTTAGGTATTTTCTGTTTTAATGGGGTTAAAAGTATTTTGTTTAAAGTCTGGTTTCCTTCTCTGTCCTCCTAAAAGATAATACTGTATAAAAGCTGTCCTTTTAATTTGTATGGTAGCGCTATTTTGACATAGACTCCATGTAATTCAGTCTGAAATAGGCAGAATGTTCTTATATATCACCCAAAAATATTTATTTGAGGAAAGTTTTAGATCAGGGATCTGTTTTTTTGGTGGGGGGAGGGTTTGGTTTTTTGAAACAGGGTCTTGCTGTGTAGTTCAGGCTGGTCCTGAACGCATTACGTAGCTCAGGCTGTCCTCAACTCACTGAGATCCTCCTTCCTCAGCCTCCCAAGTCCTGGGATTATAGGCATGTACTACCATGCCCAGCTGAAAGTGGCAATTTTTTTTTCTTCGTGGTGTTGAGAATTGAACCCATGGCCTTATGCATGCAAGGCAAGAGCTCTTCTACTAAGCCGTATCCCCAGCCAGAATGTGACAATTTTTATGGAGTATTTAAAACTTCAGCCATTTGAGGGGGGGAATAAAATTTTAAAAATCATAGTCATAACAATAACACTCCATATACTTACATATCATAGAGTAGGAAGCAATACTTATTTAAATTTTTTAAACATTTACATGTGTAACTGGGCTGGTTTAGTCTGTGCTTCTACATAGTCATTGATTAGTATGTTACCATCCAAAGCCAATAGTATAAAAGTTTGAATGCTGCTAGTTGTTTGGGTTTTTTTGGAGACAGGGTCTTGCTATGTAGTTCAGGCTGACCTTGAACTTGTGGCGATCCCCTACCTTAGTCTCCAGAGTGGTGGGGTTACAGGCATGCACCACCATGCCCGGTGACCACTAGTTTATTATCCATGTATTAATTAATGAATTTTATACAGTAACTTAGCTGCCCTAATTGGACCAAGTTCTGCTGGAAGAGGGAGTTTAGAGATAGCAGGAAACTGAATAAATTTAGTCGTGAGCTATCAGATTAATGACCATAGGACACAGTGTTCTGAACAACTTCATGTGACATCATATTTTTCCTTTGGTTTATATATCCTGATTTTGTTGATATATTTATAATCGTAATGTAGATCTGTATTTTGATAGACTGTTGATCATCATGGAAATCCTGGTGTTACAGGAGTTAAAGGAAGAATAGTTTCTGTTCCTAAAGAGATTGGCAGTGGAGTGTAATCACTTGTTGAGAATCAGAAAGGGTGATAATGGGTAACATAAGAGCATTGTATCAGATTATGAATGGAAATAGAAAATAAGGAAAATAAGATGTTTCTCTAAAGGCTGCTCCCTGTCAATTTTTAAAAATAGGTTGGCAGACCCTCAAATCTGACTTTTGATGTTTTCTTGTTGCTAGTTTGGGAACTAATGTGGGCATATTAAGTGGATCTTTATTCAGAGTGGTAATGCTGTTGCCTTTCTGATTCCATTTAGAGCCCCTTTTTTTTTTGTTTCGCAAAGCATACTTGGGTAATAAATCAGAGTTTAATTATAGCTCAGTCACTATTGGCATTCTGTGCAAGCATCAATACTTTAAAAGGTAGAACAGATAATGAAATAGTATGCTAAACTCCTATAATAATTCAAAACTACCCTTCATTTAATTTTTTTCTTGTCCTAGTACAACTAGTAAATAATTGATACAATTGAGGTTGATCTTAAGTAAAATAATGTATATGGCAATCACATATTTTACGTTGTTTTATTTTATTTGGTACCGGGAATCAGACTCAGGACCTTGTGCTTGCCAGGCAGGCACTTGTGCCACTGAGCTATATCCCCAGCCCAATCACATATTTTAAATTAGAAAGTAAGTTTGGAATACTAGTAGCCATTATTTTTCTGGAAAAAATAACACATGTCTGCAGAAAAGTTTTTACACACAATTCCGTGGTTCCCTTCCCCATAGGCAGCCTTATCGGTTTCTATATTAAACATTTTCCACTGTTTGTGTTTGCTTTTTCCCCATTTCCTCCAC